CCCCCCATTATTCTTGCCAGCCCTCCCCCCGCCATAAATAATGAAGGCTCCCTAAGTTTATCAAACAATTTGCCATTTGCTTGTCCTTTTTTTATATACATTTCCTTTCTATTGGCATCTTAAAGACAATTTGTGAGCACTTACACAGGCTACAAGACATTATGCAGTTTGCCTCAGAGCGGATGCGCTGTCTACTTGTTAGTTATAGGTGCACAAGACCCACCAGACATGCGCATTCAATTTACCTCAAATACGTTGTCCAGGGCATATTGCAACAAGGCGGGCGTACTATGTACTGGGTTTTCTATACCTGCTGATCAGTTTTATATTTTTTTCTTTATCTTGTGTAGATTTGCGGCTGTGGTTTATCCGACAGTTTACAAACACCGCATGAAGAGCACAAAACTCGCTGGCTGGACTATCCTTGGTGTATGGATTTTTTCACTTTTTGTTGCCTTGTTTCGACTTGCTTTCCAAAAATTCAATTATGCCATCTTTGTTGTGACTCTGGGCTTTTTCATTCCGCTGTTATTAATCTTGTTTACATACGGAAATATCTACCGTGTGGTTCGTTATCGTGCAAAATGGACTGGGTCCGTGTTGATTGAGATCAAACTGGCGCGAACTCTTTCGATCGTGATTGGTGCATTCATTCTCTGCTGGGGGCCATTTTTCATTCTCAATATAGTAACCAAATATTGTCCCGTGACATGTGATTATGAAGTTGCCATCAAGGTAATTAAGTGGCTTCAATACGCTAGCACTTGCATTAACCCTATTATCTACACTATCAGGAACCGCGAATTTCGTTTCACTTTCCACAAGTTGATTTTCCGTTGTAGCCACAGAAATGGCAAGTACGCGTTTAACCCACAAGAAAAGCGATCCAGTTGGTGGGGTTGTTGTCAACTTGGAGGTCCCATTGATGCAGATTTTGGCGAGAGTCGATCACGTTATCCGACCTACACCGAAGAAGCCTCGCTTTGTAATTCGCGCCTTCGTAGTTCAACGACGCCTACAAAAGTTCAAGGGACAACTTTAGCCTTTGACAACTTATCTTCGTCACAACACGTGCAGTCGAGTTGTAACACAACTCAGCGCTTTCGTTCTTAAGGTTTTTTCGACGGTAAAAGTAGACAGACCCAGTCGTAGCACCTGAACTGTTATTGCTACAATGTAGCTGTACATAGCACAAAAAAAACTTTACGTGATATTATTTGCGCTCACAATACTTCTTAACAGCGCTTCGTGTGCTTATATAGAAAGAAACCAAATGTAGAGACAAAGGATACTGATCTTAAAGAATTAAACAAGAAAAAAAAAGCGATCCTTCTTGACCAAAAATAATAAACTCAATTATCCACTAAATAGTTTGAAACCACACAGTGTTGGTTACGCATTTGCGCGCGCCTTACGTAAATTGGCTCCGATCACTGCTCCTCCTTGAGTATCGGCGGTTGATGGATTACCTAGCCCTGGGAATGATTTATACCATGTAGATTATTCCAATTTACATGTTCTCGCAAACTTGGATTTTAAAATTTGTGGGGCAGTTGCTTCGAAAAAAAATTATCTTTCACAAAGGGATGAGGCCGTTGGTCTTTCCGAGGCTAGAGGATACCTATATCTTATTAGAAGTTTTGTTGTGTTGTATCCCTGAGTATTTTTACGAGTTGTGCCGTATTTTGACGAGCGCGTAGTAAAAATACTCAGCGATACTACACAACAAAACGTCTAATAAGAGATTTATTATCCAACACGCCAAATTGTTATTTCAGTGCGGGCGAATTTCGCGGATGTTATTTACGGGGAGTGCGTAACAGAAGTATGCGAAGCGGAAGGGAATTGGCGCGTTGTCGTGTTGCTGTTTCTATTTCCTTCAATAAATAAAGAAGTTTCTTTGTCGTCTAACTGTTTTTCTTCTTTCGATTCATCCAATAAACTTGGATCTATATTTGCCAGCCATTCCGACTCTTCGTCGTCGGAAATATGATTCAAATTGTCCGCCATTTTTTTGTAACTTCAATCCAATTCTTCTCTTGCGCGATGCGAGAAAACCTGTCTAACCAGTACTGTGGAGTACAAATACCGCGTGATATTTGTACTCGTATATGGCGTTATTTGTACTCAACGGAGTGTAGTTGGATAATAAACTGCGTTACTGCAGTCAACTTACATAAAAAGCCGCATTGTTTTGTAGTTTGCTAGTTAGAACAGAAAAACTCAGGCAACCTTTTTGAGATTTTATCATGGGAAAGATAGACGATAGAATCAGCATCGCCGACAAAAAGATCACCAAGTCACTGATAAAGCTGGGCTGAATTGAGCAGAGAAACCTTCTGGACACCTTTCATTCAATTTTTTTTTTCCTCATCGTAAACCATAAGCTACCATAAGAAAAACTAAGAGGGTATAAGTCTCCTGAATAAAGAAAACTACTCAAATAACGTTTATAAAATAGCAACCACCACGCGACATGACGATTTTTGTCTTGGCATATTTCGAGCCTTCCCCGGAGTTTGCTTTGGCTCTGTGTGTTGAGGTTTGAACGGTCGTTCCGATTTGTGACGGATTGAAATTGTAATGCGAACTGCCGAACAAAGTTTATCGCAAAAAAAAAAAAATTTCGTGGATGTTTCTCCGACGCGGGAGCTGCAGTACTGTTCTTGAATGATTTTGTAACACTTGTCGTGCACGGAAAGTCCTTTAACCAAGATAATCAAATCGATAAACTAGCAGTTCATCAGGGTTGCACGATAAAATCAAATTCTGTCTGATACCACATACTACAACTATTTTATTCAGGACATTCGCATTGCGATTGATTAACAAAATTAGCGAAAACAACGAGAGTAAAAACTAACGGCCTTTCTTAAAGCAGCTAAGCCTCTTCCAGGCGGTCAATTAGTGGGGTGAGCGAATAATTGGGGTGAAGGCGAGCGAGAGAAAAACCAAGGGGAAGGGGGGAAGGAGTTATAAGGAAAAGATAAGGAAGAAATCAGACAAGTAAATGGGCCGGCATCTTTAAAAATAAGTGCTTTCTTTAGGTGGTTAACTACGAACAATTTCACGGGAAGAAATCGTATTCACTTAATTTTTCTCGTTCACCCAAAATTGCGCGCAAAATTACGGTTCTTAAAGTATTCTGAAAAACAATTCAAAGGAAAACAAATACTGAGATATCCTATGTCATTTGATACGAGCAATAGTGGATTTGTAGACACAAATGCGCATTAGCTCGGCTTGGAAGAAGCGTACTTGCTTACACACCGTAATCGTGTACACGCATATGTCGATTCAAATTTCTTGATTGCGAAAACTAAGGTTGACAGATCTTACATTTGTATGGTTTCCCTCCTGTGTGAGTTCGCAGGTGTTTGGTCAGTGTGGAGCTGTCAGCAAATACCCAGGAACACATTTTGCTTCGGTAAGGGCGCTCACCAGTATGAGTGCGCATGTGTGTGGTGACAGAGGAGGACTGGGCAAACCTACAAAAAAATATGGTTACATCGCAAGTCAGTAGTATAGCTTTCCCCTTGAGTTTGCAGAAGTATGTTACACCGACTAGTTTTCTTGAAACAGAGAAAGATGTTTTCCGTCTTGTACATGTCATGAGCGTGGGGCAAGGAGAAAGTTTGAGTTGCGCTCCGATGCTCTACCATTGAGCATTCTAGACTCTATGGTGAGCAAGACCCGTTACGAATTTCATATATGACACGTGTCTTGAAGTTTAGTTTAGTTTATTTCATTAGCTTCGCCGACAGGCAGGGACACCGCAACAGCTTGCGCCAATTACTGCGGGCCCAGTGAACCCGCCCATCCCACCCCAGGGGAGGATATCCACCACACAGTAATCTCGTGCGTGAGAAATTAACGTCTCCTACCCCTAACCCTGCAGGAGACGGGACCTACGGTTTATTCGTCCTTATCCGAGAAGTTATGATGTAATAAACCTAGCTAAAAGGAAGAAGATACGTTGCCTCAGGGCAAGTCCTTGTTACAGAGCAGCAGGACGTCCGTTTCTCCGCCGACGGGAAGATTTGAAAGAAGTCGGGGAGAAGGTGGTCGGGACCGTGGCCTCGTTATCAGTGTTAGACCCCTTGCTGACCCCTTGCCTACTCGCTTTGCCCAAGGCCTTAGAATTAGACTTTCCAGCGAGCGGAGCAACGCTCAAGCCGAAGCGCTAATAAAGATTACTTTGCCCGTAGGCTAAAGAATATGAGACAGAGATCTAACTGAAAATCTATAAATGAAATCCCAGGAAAGGGCAGTATATCAATTCATGAAGGTCTATTGTAGGTGTGCTCCGTCGATCTTAAAACTTATCTTCGTTGTATTGGTCTTGCCTCTATATTTATATGTCATTAAGAACTCGCTAGAAAAAGACAAGAGCAGAGTGGGCGTGGTCATTTTTAAGTCCCAGACTACCTTAACCCTGTCACAAGTACAGTAGGTGCTTTATGTACCTTCGATCGCACACCAAGCATTTGAAAGGTTTCTCCCCCGTGTGGATTCGCAGATGCGCAGTTAGATTTGCATCCTGAGAGAAAGACTTCATGCTAATGTGGCACTGGTAGAGCTTCTCTCCTGAGTGGGTCCGCATATACATACGTTAGGTGGAAGGCCGGGCATATACCTTGTCGCATAGGCGGCATTTATTTGCCTTGGACCCAGGCGCGTGTGAGCTTTCTTTGTCAGACAGGACAGTCTCCTCCTGAAAAATGGGTCCTGAAAAGAAATCCTGAGCACACTCTGGGCCACATGGATTCTGTATAGCACTGGACGAGAAAACTGCAGCATCAACATTAGCAGAGGCAAATCCATCCATTGGAATTGAGGAGGTCTTGCAAAGGAAAGAATCATAACTGATAAGACTAAATGATAATTTGTGGATAAAAGTCTAAAATAGCTTGACAAAAATCAGTTTGTATCACAATATTTTTAGAAAAAGTGATGATAGTTGCAATATGAGTCTTCGCAGTGGGAGACTACGACCCATTTCGACTCGAGCACAGGAAAACTGGGGACTAGCACATGAAAAGGAGGCTTCTTCGAAGACGTTTCCGAAAACGTAAGGTTAAAGGATAAACGTTGAACTATTGTTTTTGTTTTTTGTTTTTTTTCAGTTTCATCTCACAATTGAAAAAAAACATTATAAAAGAAACTGGTAAAATTCAGTTTTCCTGGTGGGTTTTAAGCTCGATTTTTTGAGTCCACTAAAATCCATTCTTAAGGAGGCAGTGTGGCCGAGTGGTTAGAGTGTCGGACTCGTAATCCGCCGCTCCCGGGTTCGAGTCCCACCCTGACCACTGGATTTATTTCACGGTAGCCCCGAGTTCAGATCCTTGGCCACGCTTGTAAATAGCCAACTGGTTTGCCTCCGGCCGGTTGGGGTGGTTAATGATATTATGTTCAATTTAGACCATTTGTTTCATTTGTTCGCAAGGACCACAACGTAAACTACTGGTTCACCAGTAATTGTGTAATCCTATAAAAAGACTTTTTTATTTTATTTTATTTATTCTAAGATCTTCTATTGAGGATGAGCGTGGCTCATTCACCACTCAAACAGGAGCTGGTAAGGAGGGTTTACTAACTGTCCTCCACTGGTGTACCTGAACCAGTTTTCCGAGCTCCTGTCCAAACGAATGCGACCCGGGAACCAACTTGAAGATGACAAATTTAGAAGATTTGAGGCCTGGTTAAAGTTAAAAAATATCAAATCAGTGATTGCGAAATCGAAGGGTCACCTATTGAAGGGGTCCAATGCGGGGAATCTGCTGGGTTTCCCATTCTAGCACTCCTTTCAGCGGCCGCGTGTTTAAGGGACAAGAGGATCCCTGCGGCGTTGAACCAAGCATCTGCGGGGTCTTCTGATGATACCTGCTGCTCTTGCGCGGGGAGAGGACTGGTGAAGATAATTAAAGAAAATGGTTTACTTCATTTTCTAGATCCTACTCTTCCCAGTTCAAGTAAAAACAAGTTCAACAGTTTGCCTTTTGTTAGCTTTGCCGAACGAAAATAAACCGACATAGGCCGCCAATTCCGGCTACTCTTCGGCATAATCATGAAGTTCTAATCAATATCATGATATCATGTCTAACAAACGTTAAAATTACTTCTCTGGTATCCTCGGTTAATATACTTATAAGAGCGTTATCTTGGTCGAAGTGAATTAAATCAAATTAAATGTCTTTAAACGAGCAAAGCTGAAACATAAACTATTTTTATTGAACAAACTTTTTTTTATACAAGCTGACCGGTTCTTTGGTAACGAAAAAGAGAGCTCGATATTGTTTTCCCGATATATCTAATCGAGGTCACAGTCAAAGCCATCAATACGTAACCGATTGAGGCCTTGTTACCCCAGGCCTCCTTTCATGTATATCAACAGGCAAGTGTTTTTAAGTAAGTATAGGCTTTATTCAGAATTCAACATGATTCTGTTTTTTTTAACAGATAAAGGTCGTTTTGTAGACATTAGAGCAGGGCACGCAGATACGGTTCAGTAGTTTTTCATTGAATTACCTTCGCGCAGAAATTTCCTTATTTCTTTTTGCGACGAGGATTAAAAGATACTTGCATACTTCCAGGTTTGATAACAGGGAGTTTTCCACAAAACCTAACCATCGCAAGAAAATAGAAACCAAGATATTCCTATGTACCGTCGAAGCTAACTGATTGCGCAGCGAAAATTCGACTGTCTACGAGAAAAAATGGATGACAAATTTGTAGTTTAGAAATATTTAAAATAAAGCGAAATTAACATCGTTCCTTTTTAGGATTTTATCAAACTTAAAAAAAAAAATGGTCGAGCCAAGTACATCTAAAAAATCTACCGAACTTTACCCGCTGACAGCGAAAAAAATTTCTCCTCCAGTCCGAAAAGCCGAAAAGCCGAAAACAAAAGTGCCTTCGAAAGGGAATTTCTTGATCCGAAAGGCCGAAACAAGTGCCTTCTAAAGGGAATCTCTTGCTTCCGAAAAGCCGAAACAAAAGTGCCTTCTAAATTTCTTGCTTTTTTGGCGATTTTCGGACTTTCATTTGCGACGAGGGTTAAGAGATTCTTGCAAACTTCCAGTCTGATGTCAGAGAGGTTTTCTTCAAGGTTTTCAACTTTCGCAAGAATTCAGAAACCCAGACGTTCCTACCGTCGAAGCTAACTGATTGCACAACGAAAATTCGGATGTCTGCGAGGAGAAATAGAATTTAAATTCATAGTCCAGAAACATTGAAAATGAAGTGAAATAAACATCATTCTTCTTTAAGATGTTATCGAAACTATAAATGTTGGTCGAGCCATGTTAAGTTGCATCAAATACGTCCAAAAAATCTGCCGCACATCACCCGTTGCCGACGAAAGAAATTTTTCTTCGACATCACCCGCCGAGCCAAAACAAAAGTGCCTTCCTTTATTTTTCAGTGGGGAAACTGTTTTCTTGGATCAAAAATGTCAGTAGATGAGTACTTTCATATTTTCGGAAAATTTTTACATTTCAATCATGTACGCTTATAGCCGACGATTTTTTATGAAACACTTATGAAAGATCGCCGAAGAAAATGCGAATGACCCATATTAATACCCCCAAAACTAATACTCTGATAAACTAAATCAGTAAATTTGAAAAAAAAAAGCGAAAATTTTTTTCTGCTTCAAAAACGACTGTGGTAGTTTGGAAAAAAATTGCGCGAAATTTTGAAAGATCGTCCACGTTGCAATTTTGTTTTAAAACAGATGTCTCCCACACTACTTCCTACCTGCCATTGATACTTTCACTATGATGAACCTGTTGATCTTCTGATGAGTTTAATATTTGCTGAGGATTTCATTCACTTTCCTGAACCATCGAACGTTCCCAAATAGAGGATGAAGACACCGAACTGATTAATGCTCTGGGCAGAACTGGGCTGTTATTTGAAGCCATCGATATGAAACTGAGGCCTTGAAAGGTTGAGTTCTCCATACCGCGAGGATCAGGTAAGTCAGGCAGAGATTGAGTCAACGGTCAAATGAGCGAAAAAACGTTCGTTAACAAAAAACACAGCCTTCTGTCTGACTCGACAAGATTACAGAAAAACTTGCTATAGCCCTCCTTTTAAAGGGGCAGCTATGGACCAGAAATGAAAATATTCATAAATATCGGCAAACTTTGATGTGCTTCTGCAGGAATGTAGGAGTAATCTGATTGGCTGAGTTTGTCATGTGAGTACAATGATGACGGAAGGAGCTCTACTGACTATGTAGAATGTACGTACACTCTTATCGATTTTCATAATTTGAACTAAGAGACTGTTGCCATAGAAATTCTGACCAAATTCCAAGACGCTGAGCTGAATTCGACGTAACACACCCTTTTCGTTCCCTTTGAACCATCGTGACAGGTGCAAGCCATTAATTAGGCTGAAAAATGTTCTTCTTTGTTCGTTCCGCTAAATTATAGCCACGAAATGGCAAAAACAAGCGAACAACCCTATTGGTTACTTCCCACGTGATTGATCTAGATAAGATAAGATTGCTAAATTTTTGACAGCGACACGCAAAGACATCTAATGTTGCTCACTTTTAATTTAATCCATAGAATTGTCATCAGACTGCTCATTCGAGAGATCGTCTATGTTAAGGTTTCGTGTTTATGATATCCCAGTTACTGAAGACGTCGCCTCCATGATCGTTCCCAGAGCCCATCGATTTCCTTTGCCTAAAGAGCTCTGATATAACCTTGCGAAGGCCTCAATCAATCGGATAGCTATTCAAGGGCAATCTCCATCCATCTGTTACACTTTCAAGAAACAATTTACTGGTAATCTATTCAATCGACCAGTCGTTGCCGTTTTTTTTTTTTACCAAGTGAAACAAAACTTTCTTTTTAGTCTTTAATTGGCCAAATACCTGTAATTTTAAAGGTTCCTACTTAAAAATCCTTTCAGTGTTTACCTTATTTAGCAAGAGAGAGCTTGCGTGACAATTTTTTCCCATTTCCTTCTAGCTAAGAAGAACAAAACTGAGCCAACCGAGAGTCTCGCAAGGATCTGTAACTTCAGTTATAATTCAGAAACAGCGGGAAGGAGGGCCTTCCCTCACCCACTGCTTTACTGCTTACGCGCAGTGGTGAGAGCACTCGCCTCGCACCACTGTGGCCCGGGTTCGATTCCCGGACCTGGCGTCTCATGTGGGTTGAGTTTGTTGTTGGTTCTCGTCCTTGCTCCGAGGGTTTTTCTCCGGGTCCTCCGGTTTTCCTCCCTCCGCAAAAACCAACATTTCCAAATTCCAATTCGATCTGGAACAGTGGACAAGAATAGCCACCCAGTAGATGTCCATTGTTAAATCATTTATTTATTTATTTATTTATTTATTACGTGTTAGTTCCCCTCCGTCCCGTGCCCTCGCGCTTGCGCTCGGTGGAATAGAAAAAGTCTTTGCATCATGAGGGAAATTCGAGAAAATTCAAAATTAAGCTTGTAGGGCAATTGACTTGAAAAGTTAAAAAAATAAATTGCATGAAAAAGGTTTAAAAAGGTTGTTGTCATGTTGACAACGCCAAATGTCCCCTTTCTCGCTAGATTCTTCCAAGACCTTATTAAAAAAAAGACAATAACAAATCGCTGTGAGAGCATAAATTCAGTGTTCGATATCTTCAAATATGCAAACAAGCTACAAATTAATACGATAAACAACAAGAGCTTTTCCATTTAGCTTTTAATGGTAATGTACCGTTCTACATTTTCATTGTCACTAAAACAAACTACAATGGGCGCTATGATAGCTTAACACATTTCGTCTCTTAAGTGAATATCAAGACAGAACTAAAAAACAAAACCAATGAAATACTTGACGGTTAGCTAACTGTAACACTTGAAAATATTCCCTTTTTATAAGGAGTTTGTCACTGGCTTCGAGAAAAAAGAAACTTACATTCAAAAGAAATGTGCAACATGCCATAAGCCAATCAGAGCGAACATACTAATTTTCAACCAGTAAGCAAGTGACCCGTGACATACTTATTTTTCCGCGCTTTTCATTGGTTGCACAATTCCTCTTTGGTTCCTGATTAATCAGGTTTAATTACGCCTGTAGGGACTGACAAATGCTAACGATACTACACATTTGCTTCGAAACACTTGAAGATTGCTCCCTTTTTACTTGAAATCTTATTACGCTACCGAACACCATTACATTATAAAGAATGTAGCCTTGCTCGACTATGCTCCGACGAAGGGCTAACGCTCGAAATGTCACTGCTTTTGTAATCGTTACGGTGGCCAATTTACCATTTTAACTTTGTTGATATATCCAAATTATTTCGTTACCCCCACCGACGCAGCCCCAAACAGTTTCTTTAGAAACTATCAGCCTTTATACATATGCCTTCTGATATCCGACAATGTGAAATATTTCATCTTTTAAAATCGTTTTCAGAGTACCATTGCATTTTAGGGGCCAATAAGGTAAAAAAGGGATTTTGCAAGAAAAAAAATTAAAAGAAAACATAAAGAACAACAGCAAACACATAAGGCCCGGTCATTCCACTGGCAAACTAAAAAACAATGTTTTTGAACAAGCTCTATGATCACCTCTTACAGTTTAACTTTAAAAAAGGGGTTTTAAACCCCTTTCTCTAGGAAAGATATGGGATGATTTGATTATTCTACCAATATTACTTATTTTTAATGTCAAAATGTAGTGACGACAACTTAATGAATAGTCAAACAATAAAAGTGCTAAAAAAATAAACTACAAACAAAAGAAGAAGACGATGGCAGCTTTCAATCAAACATACGTTATTTTCGGCAATTCTAGATATATCTCGAATGCTTAAGGTTACAAACTTTCGCAGCACAAACTGTGGACATTATAGAAACCCCTTTACTCCCGATGTTAAAACCCACCCCTGTGCTAAAACTACGCTGTATAACTGTTGCGTGCCTCGAAATATCACTTTAAAAGGTAAAAATCCACTTTGATAAAAACATGTTATACCACGAGTTACACTCTATAAAAGATTCGACATCTGAATTGCACTGCATGGTTATTCACGCAAGAGGTATATTCTCCAAGCCACGTTTAGAGCAAACACGAACAGCAAAATTTACCTCTAAATTCCTTAAATTTCCTTATAATTCAGACTTAGTCCAACACAGGAATACAAAAATATCTCCCTAGAGACATATGCAAATACTTTCGCACTATTTCTAAAAGAGACTCTAAGGTAGAAAAAGCAGACTGAGTTAAAAAGATTATTTCTACTATTCGTTCGCGTAAACGTGGTTTGAGATCTCTCTTAACAACTATTCATACAAAAACGGCGAATTTGCGCAATGCGTCTGATGAGCGTGTAACAAGAGCCACAAAGGCACGTAGACTACTTACAAATGGCGTGTGTAAGGGCACTGTGTGTAATTACCGAGTTCTGGTGGTTCTTCCCGTTTTTTTTTTCTGAGTTTAAAATAGCATCCCTTTTTTGAAGAAGAAGAAAAAAGTTTCCCATTTTAAAAATGCTTAAAAACGGATTTGTTTCCAGGAACTTTCAACCCAGATGGAGCGTCTGACTGGTTCGCTGACCAAGAATTCGGATTTACCTTAACTACAAAAGCGCAGACAACATCAACCTTTGGTTTCCTCTGTTACCGTAATTATCGTTCCTTTTACCTCCAAAAACAAACTTATTTCTCCTTACCCTCGCCAAGGAACACAGTTGAGTATAAGGCACTTAATTGTTTAAATTACGATGAGTAGCGGGAACATCAAGAAACTAGAGTACATCACGTCTACTGTCCACTGCTCAGCCTTTTAGCAAACTTTTCTCGAAAACTTCGTCGCTTCTTCACCTTGTTCCCAGACTTCCTTCGCACAAGGCCCACTGGTTCTCGCTTTAACTCCACCATCACGGGACCACTGCGCTCGCCACTAGCGTCCAAGCTATCTTGGGAGTCATCCAAGAACACCTTGATTTCCTGTGGTTCAAAGTGTCTCTCCTGTGCCCTTACATACGTCACCACTTCCTCTGTGACCTCTTCGCCTTCCTGATCCTCTGTGTGTAAGACTGGCGCAGACTGGTTCAATGAAACGACTTTGGTGGTGATAAAAACTTCCTGATGGAAAAGAGAAGAGGGAAAAGTCTGAGATATTTTGATCATAACCATAATATATTGTTAGTCCCGAAGCAGGCTTACTGCAGAGTTACAAACGAACCCGGCTCATAACAGCTTTCTGATCATTAGACTACAGTTTCTTTAAAAACTGACAATTTGATGAACGGAACAAAGATGGGGCCGGCTGAAGATCTTACGCGTGGGTGAGAAATAGCTCACTGAATTCTGATCGAAGAGTGGTGAGGAATAGCATGCCGTTTATATGTAAAGGCAAACAATTGTGCGAATTTATTTTGAACTTATACTCTACGTGGCACTGCAAAATTCCTTTAAGATCCACTTCCAGCAAAAATTTCGTGAAGGCAAGATCAAGCAGCTACCTCATTGTCTTTGTTATCTTTCTCAGGCTGTCTGTCTTTAATAAGCACCGGCTCAGAGTTGTCTAGTTCCCGTTCTCTCCTGTACTCGGTGGCCTTCACAGGTGAATTCAGCCACTTGAGGCGACTCCTGTGAAAGAAACCAGATCAGTTAAATGGCTTAAAACCCATGACGAACGAGAGAGAAAACAAAATTGTCAAAAAAAAAAGGCACAGTTTAGTTTAGATGGGCAGAGCAGTCGAAAAGTCAGCTATAGAAACTCTTCACGGAGGCCAATCCGAATTATCTTGTAATACTCCCCACCGACTCAGCACCACGGTTTCTTCAGAAATTCAACTCCGTTATTCATTTGTGATAAGAGCTAACCGAGTATTTCAACTCTGGTAGTGTGGTGAACTAAAACACAGCTGCGATTGTACTCAGTTAAGCCAACTGACCACTTAACAGATCTGAAGTGAACAAAATTCTTCACTTTTTTCGATTTTGCGTCACAAAACCTGTTCCAAATTTATCATATTGGTCAATTGAAAGAAAGGTAGATGTCACCAAGAGCCAATAAGAGTGAAATTATATGAAAGTAACAGAAACAGTTTCGCATGTTGTTTTGCATCATGTCTTTAAAAGCTTGTGGGAGTTTCTTAGACCAATAAACAAGCATAGCAACGCCGGCGAAAACAACAATGCACTGAACATGTCGCCAATTTCTTTTAGCTACCTGTAGGTGTTTCCTCGTCCAAGCGAGGCCGTGCGCCGTACATTAGCGTCACGATAGATTGTCATCTCTGTGCGAGTCGTGGAGGTCTTGGCTGGTGTTTTCTCGCGTGATTTAGCTTCCTTTTCTTCTGATTTGAAGATCTCAGAGTTGCGGTAGTTGTAACCAGTCTTGCAGCCCTTCAAAGGAGGATAAGAAAAGCGTCGGTAAAAGTAAGATGGTGATATGTTTAGAGTTAACGCTTACAGACAGAGTTGACCTGCAGGCAACATCTACGACACCTTTGCTCAAGTTTTCACACCAACGAAACAGTACAATTTTACAGTGAAACGGCTTTGACAGAGTGTCATAAAACAAAAACCCACGGCCAACCAAATCATGGACCAACATTACAACGAACCAATGATAACTCGACGTAAACAGGTTCAAGAGCGGGAAAACGCCGCTGGCCAAGTTGCAAATGTTGTTAATTTTGCATCCAATTGGTTGAGAGGCGGCGCAAGATGTCTGAGGCAATCGAAAAGCGAAGGAAAGCAGAACGAAAGTAATCCTTATTTAATTTTGATATTCAGTTCATAATTGCTCTGAAACCAGTATCAATGAGATCTTAGAGAAATTTTCCAGTGAGTGTTGAAAGGGATTCGTGATCGCACTGGTTTAGCTTTACTTCGCTCTGTGATTAGTTTACTTGTGTTTACGTCGATTTCTCTTTGGCTCTTAACGGTATTTTCTTTTCTTCTGGTTAGCTGTTGTGATCACTTTGGTTTTGGTTTTACGATAATAAATCGAAAAGCGCTCTAATGCCCAATCGGGACAAGCGTGGATATTGCTTGGAAAATCAAAGAAAACACTGGTGAGCTGCTTCCTTCGGCGGGTGTTAACACTGATTCAAGAAGCTTCATTTCTTTAGAAACTCTCTCTTTTCAAAGCTGAATCCTTTTAACAAGTCTAACTCGTCGACGCTTAACCCTTTAATTTCTGTTATCTAATTAGTAACTTTCCCTTACAGTTTCTATTCATTTGTGTCTAAGTACAGTAGTTATAAATTAATTCAGCTCCCTCTTCAGGATATAACAACAATTTCCGTCGTGTTTATAAAGCTTTTTCTACCCTCGACCCGCATTTAAAAGGCTTAAGTTAAAGAATTCCAAGACAATCAAGACACCCTAATGACAACCAAATAAAACCTCATGTATTTGCCACCTCCCTCGACTTAGAGTGGAATGCTTCGATAGTACACTAGTGACCACTTTCTAAAAATTTGAGCAACCTCAGCCTTAACTGACTCATTCTTGAAAAATGACGTGTGGAAATTACACTAAAATAAAAACAGGAAAAGAAAAATCATACGAATGAACACATTTTAGCCGAAAACTTCGATTGTGGGAGAGAGAGCACCCGAGACACGTTGGTGTCAACTCTCGAGGGCATCTCCGTGGTACATGTACATTCGAAATGTTTTCGGACCATCTTCGAAAATATTCGAATGTCTTCGGATATAATCGGGTTCTCCTCCATAATCTAGCAATGAGGATAAACTTCGCACGACTCTGACGTGGCAGGTTTAAAGTTGAAAACATCCCTTACCCTTGAGTCAAGCATTCGCATCCAGGCCTCGAATTGAAGCTCTGCCATCTTTTGTTGGTTCTCATTTGCATCTAAACCTCCATAAAATGAATTCATCATGCTTTCTTTGGCATCATCATCAATCTCCAACAGCCCGTCCATTCCTGCGCGCATTGCAGATACCTATGAACAAATCAAAGACAGTGTACTTTTGCGCGATGAAGATGGAAAAGGAAGGGAAAAAGAACGTTATGAAAATTAGGTTTCTGAGCCAACAACTCCGCTTTTAGTTTTTTCACACTGCAGCTTCAATTTTTTTTTTCCACAGAGTATCTGAAAGACCCCCAGCTATAAACAAGCTATGTATGAGTTGGGTAAGATCATTAACCAAGATTCAGTATTGTGCGAGTGATAACAACCCAAAATGGATGACAATTTTTTTTTGGCCTAACAGCCACAAATTACAACAATGCAAGGAATGGCTGACTGTGTGACTTGTACTCTACCCATTGAGAGGAGCTTCTTTAATATCAGTTCTGGTAAAATGGTTTCACCATTTTTTTCTAATGTTTTACACAAAACATGACTTAAATCAAATTAAACTTTCCTGTATGAAGACAACAGTTCCAAATGTTTGCAATAAAATTATCTTAGTTGGTACATGAATTGTATGATGTCAGTTATCCACTGACATCTTCACCACCAGTATAAAAATATGACCCTTTTTTGCAGTGCAATACTCACTTGCAGTATTTCAACGACAGTAAACCTTGTCATTCTTAATCTTATAATAACTGTAGAAATTCTCACGCACTTATTTAATTTTATAATAACTGTAGAAATTCTCGCACACTTATTGGTTGAGAACCATGGTCAATAAGGTTATAGATCATAGAAATGATGTATGATGTCACACAATGCTCAGCAATCTGTCGGAGAAAAATTTCTTTGCGTAGAAACATTTGCAAATATTAGAAATATGGACAGCGAAGAGTTTCCCAATTTAAGACTGGGGTACCTGCAGAAATTTTTGAAGAATTGATCCAAACGGACAAAAACATGGAAGAAAACAAACAAGAAAAAAATGAAAGCACAATGTGCAAGTGATTTTCTAAGACTTAGCTGCATAAGCAGGCTTAATAAAATCAAAATTTTATTGTAAAAAAAAAAAACAAATTGATGTCAATTTGTTAACAAATTATCATTCTTAACTCTTTAAACCCTAGGTGTGACCAGCACCTAATTTCTCCTAACAGTACATAGTACAGCTGATCACAAGAATAAATAAAATGATTGTGTTGATTGTTAGACAAAATCTCCTTGTCATTTCTGAAGGAAATATATGGAGAAGAGTATGGAGATTATGGATATTGATAATAAAGCATAAAGGATTAAACATATGAAAACTTCATAGCCCAGTATAGTAAATACCTGTTGTTCACAAGCAGTGACAAGAAGGTGAGCCAGATATGTTGTCTCTTCTATGGTCTCCCCAACACAAATAGCACCAAAGTTCCTTAATATCAAAACCTGAAATGCCAACAATGGTTACTATTGTGAATACAGGGGCTCTGCTGGTTGATGTATTTAAAAGTCAGACTTAATACACTAGAAGTGCTACAGGGCTATTCCACATGAGACATGAAAATTTGACAGATTTTCAAATTCAAAATATGAGAGCCAAACTTACTTTTAATGAAAGCTTATACATAGTTCTATAAGAATCCAAATCTAGATTGGCAGTAGTGGCGAGGCCCAGGCTGTGTGAGGCCATTGTTTTTCAGGGTTTTTATTAACCCAATAAGCCATTTTACATACCAATATCTAAATTGCTATATCTCAAAGAAATTGATTGCCATGAATCAGATTTTGAGATCTTAACTACCCACTAGGATGAGCCTTTCAATGCCAAAAGAAAAAAATTCTCAAACATTTAATGCCTCAGACGTACAAAGATATAAAAAGTGTTGCGGACGTGACCTTCAGGGTATGATTCAGAGCACCTTTATTTAATTTCTATGTAGGTTCTCAACTGTTTCAGGTCTTATTTATGCTGCTCATATTGTTAAGTATTATGATAATTTTGACACCCCAGCTTGCTCAAATTTGTCAACTATTTAAGAGATATTGGGTTGTGGACATGACCGTTGCAGACATGACACATTTGTAAATACCCAGAAAACCTCATAAAATTTTCAAACATGAGAAGATTATGTTGATATCTAATGACAGCAAATGATAATTATAGACATATTATGATATATGTAAGGCTATCACTTTTTTACAATTTTCTAAAAATATATAAATGCCCTTTGACGTACAAAATGACCTAGATCATCAGTTTTTATGTTTTATTTGTTATTTATTTCCCAATTTACAGATAAAAGCAATAAAAACAGCATTTTTACTTCAGTGGCATTACTCAGAACGTTATTAGTGGTGAATGAAAAGCTCTTTCTTGAACATCCCCAGAATGTCACCTCTGCAACAAATTTTGGTCATGTCCACAAYGCATCATTTTTATTCTTTATATATATTATTTGTTATTTATTTCCTAATTTACAGATAAAAGTAACAAAAATAGCATTTTTACTTCAGTGGCACATTACTCTGAACATTATTAGGGGTGAATGAAAAGCTCTTTCCTGAACATCCCCAAAATGTCATGTCCACAACAAATTTTGGTCACGTCCGCAACACAACATTTTTGTTAATAAATCCATGGTAACAAGTAATTTCTATAATATCTTTTCAGATTTATGTAGCACAATTACTATTGCATTTAGTTGGTATATGCAGTTTTTCGAAAAGTTTTCAATACACAGGAAATTTTAAGTAACCAAAAGCAATTCAAATCAATGGTTGTTTTAGGAGTCCCATCCGCAACACACTTTGAAAAATTATTTTCTCTGGATCTCTGAGAGATAGTCAGAACGTTTTCTGGCAAAATAAAAGGTACTTCAGGGGTAATTTTATGACATGACTCATTTCAATTCAAATAGTGTGGATCTGACTTTAGGAGACATTTAATACCCAAATTTTGCCTCTAAATGTCACGTCAGCAACGCACACTACAGTGTAACAGTCAATAGTATTTCACTGGCTTGCTACATGTTGGTAATTCTTAGAGAGAGACTGAACAACCAAACAGTGAAAGGGACATTCAATTTCAGAATGTTTCTATACACTGCAGGTCATTCAAGTCTCACAAAAAAGGACAAATGTTATATACATCAATGGTATAAAAGGGCTTTAATGACATCTTCTGGATACCATTACCAAGGGGATAGAGATGTGTTCACACCAACAACATAAATTAAACTGATTGTCCTAAAAGGATAGTTAAGTGCAACTGGATTTGGAGCAGAAGTGATTTACAGACTTCTTAATTTAGACTTCTGCAGCCAGGTTAACCACATTACAGTTTACACATCATGAAAAAAATAATATAAATGGCTCAGTCTTGTCATTTATTATTTGTGTTATCTTTGCCACCTTCATCAATTCTCAGTCATTCTCAATTCACTTCACCCATTTTTGGTGCTTTTCCATTATACAATGCTAATTTTTTGTGGTTCCCTTCTGTTTCCTTTCTTTCAACAAAAACTTTAACATAAGGCTCTTTATACTTTGCCCAGAAACAATGGTCCTTTATTGGTAATTTGAGATAGGCTACTGTTATGCCATGATAATTTCTTTCAGAATTTATTTTTCTAGTCATACCCTGCTTGATGTTCCAAAGCTGTTGATTAAGGAATCTTGTGTTTCTTCATCCAGCTTCAATCCAGGAAAAGTGTGGTAGGAAACTTCTCCAACCTATCATGAAGTAATAGTAACATTTCACATTGGAACCACATAAACTTATGGTGTACACAACAATAAGACCCATTAAGCCACCTGTTGGCTTGCTGTAATCCTTTTCTTTAGTTAAAATCAATTAATAGCAACTGTTACAATTATAAAAAATTGCACTTGGCTAAGCTAGTGCTTAATATCTGATACTTACTGCAATTCCCTCCACAGTGATTGGCACCAATCCTATTTTTTGTGCAGAAACCTGAAACAGAAAATGGTCACATCGAACAAGGGTTTTTATTCAAGCCTGTGGGAAATGCCTTTAGTCAATCCACAACATGGTCAAAATTCTCTTTTCTTTTGTAAGCTAGAATGGTAAGATAAAATGGAACAATTATTAAATTTATGTTTGTGGGCCCCATTTGGAGTGTCAGGCTAGTTGCAAGTTAGTTTTTCAGCAAACATTTATTGTAAATAAGCAAAACAACTTTAAGATATTTGCAGATTTTTGTTCTTGAATCTTAACAGCAACTCTATAAGGTCTCCCCAAAATAATTAAAAGCAGAGTTAGAAGAAAATGATAGGATGGTTTTAAAGGCAATGTTAGTCTGCTGTTGATAAAATGGAAGTTTTGGATGCAAATTGGAAATATGGCATAAGAATGTTTACTAAGGAATTCTTCTGCATTTCAACAACATGGAAAAAAGTTATAAAATGAATTTCAAAGAAGTACAGATACAAAATGGTGAGTACCATACTCCTAAATCTAAACAATTGAATCTGTAAATTATACTCCTCATACAGTTTTTAATTTGTACTTTTACTAACAATTCACCAGAACAAATATTTATAACAGATACCAAATTACTAAATTCAAACTTGAGAGACCAAAATGTACAAATGCGACAAAAACAAGCAAAATACACAGCAAAAAATAGAACACTAACAAGATCTGTATGGCAACTCTGGAAAAACACAAAAACTAACTTACATGAAAAGAATGCTAACTTTTATACTGATTTGAACAAGAAAAGAGAACAGCAATGAACTGACATAACTAACAACGAGGCTAAGAACAAAAACTATGAAAACTTAAACAACAGCACTAAACCCAACCTAAATGTGATGAAATAACAAAAATATATTGACCACAAAAATTTTAGAAAAAATTCATTCTCATGGTTACAGAATAATGCTTAACTACTGGAAAACCTTACTAAATTACTAAACTCAAAATTGAGAGACCAAAATGTACAAATGTGATGGAAACAAGCAAAATACACAGGAAATAATAGAATGCTAACAAGATCTGTACAGCAACTCTGGAAAAACACAAAAAGCTAACTTACAAGAAAAGAATGCTAACTTTTATTAGTACTGATTTGAACAAGAAAAGAAAACAGCAAATGAACTTATTATGTAACTAACAACAATGCCAAGAACAAAAACTATGAATATATACTTAAACAACAGCACTAAACCCAAACTAAATGCGATGAAATAACAAAAATATTTAGACAAAAAAAAAATTTTAGAAAAAATTCATTCTAATGGTTACAGAATAATGCTTAACTACTGGACAACCTATTTCAAAACAACTTAACTTCCAAGTTAAGACATCAATTGAAAAGTAGAGGGAAATCATACTCACAGCTTTCACGGATTCAGCTGACAGGAAAAAGACACACTTGGCATCTTTCCTTGCTGAATGTATGACAGAATGGAGCTCAAATGCTGACTTTTGCAGCCCAAGATTTGTGTTTCCTGCTTCAGTCACATTTCCCTTATGGTCTACCTTCATAATGGAAGATGCTGTCACCTCACTGAACAACAAACCAGCTGGAGCAACAAAATACTGATGTTCATCATTGTCATTTTCAGAAGCAGAAACCTAGAAAGAAAAATTAGGAGTAAGTCAATATAAAATAATATTTTTAATATAAACAATTTAATCATTGAATTTGCTCTCATAGTTTAAACAAAACATAGAAAAGAGCAATTTAAGGCATCAAGAAAGACCAATGATAACTTGATCCTTTACTTTATCCCCTAGAAGTGATTAACAAGTAACTTCTCCCTATAATATCTGTACATTATCCAGCAAACAGGAAATGACAATACTCAAACTATATATTAGGTAGAAATTGTTGTCTCGATCTAACACCAAATTCTCCAAACTAATTTATAGGAAATATGTAGCAGCTAGAGGGGAGAATTTACAGTCATAAATGAAAAGGTATACTTCCTAACTCTACTTTTAGTTTCACATTTGTGATGTAATTTCAGTTTCACATTTGGATGTAATTTTTAATGAAAGGCAGAGCTGTTCACAGGCAGAGAGCAGGTTGTACAATCAGGCAACTACACTTTTGTCTTTTGGCTACTTGATTAACTTTGCTCTTTTGAAATCTGGGAGCCTCACATTTAAGAGAAGAGAATTGCATGACAACCAGAGATGCTTTCATAAGCAAAGCTTTGAAGGGTTACAAATGAAGTGCTTTATCTAAAAAACTCCAGATATCTGTGTGGGATGGTGGAGGTATGCTTTTTTTGTGTGTGTTTTTTTCTTTTTATTGTCCACTTAACATCCATTGGAAAATAATAAGTTTTCTTTCTTTAAAGGAGTACTGGCACTTGAAATTTATTTTTCAACCCTTATTGAAGAATATCATCATCCACTTTCTTTCATCAGCAGGCTTAAAGCAAGTTCAATTTTTTTAATGTAATTCTTTACTTTGTAGTACTTAAACTGTGCAATCTTATTCACTCAAACATCATAAGGAAAGTGAAGGATAAACTAAACTAGTCTTACATATAATTAATTATCACAAATTATGTCAGTGTCCATCATATCTTTGCTCTATGCCGAATGATAACATGTTATCAATAACCTCCAGCTATAGACCCCTAGGTCATAAATGTCACTTACTTTTCCGCCTCTATCCAACAACTTAAAAATTATGCTCTTTTTGAGATTCATGTTTACAGAAACTTAGCAAGAAGAACAGTTTCCTTCACATCTGTTCTGACAAGTTTCATGGAAACAATCTAATCAGCATCCTAAAGAGCAAAACCTCTTGTCTCTAGATGACTTGAGAAATCATTCCATTTCTAAGCAGACAAAACACACTGAGATAACAATCATCAAATATACTTTTACTTGGATTGCCTCCAAAAAAAAATGCAAATCATATACCATCTAACAAAATTAGAATTTGGGTTATGAAATTGCATTTTGGCACAAAGTCACACTTACTGTAAGTCTGAAACCTATGGCTGAATATCAGATTTCAACTCATCATATTTTGATTCTGGGATTATTGTGGATTGCAAGTTTGAGTTGCTCAGTCTAAAAAGTTGCATGTCTTGGCAAAATCTTTAATTTCATACATTCTTAGATTTGCTTGAATATTCAACATTTCTATCACAAGAGAGAATTGCATCAGTGAAGATAATCCCTTCATACTGTAGCATTCATTTTGAACCAAACTATATCTGCACAGAAGAACACATCAGAGGCCCTGTGAATCACAGATGTTTATATCACAGATTTACGTGGGATTTCTTGATCTATGATATATATAGATAAAAATACTAGAGCCAGGGAAGTCTTGGTGTAATCATTATAAAATTGCTAGTTATCAGGATTACAAGCTAATGTCCACTTAAAAAGAAATGTAAACATGCAGTTTTCAATCAGTTCAATGGAGAACAATTCAGTGTTCTTTCATTTTTGGCAGGTCTTTGTTATATCATATTTGAGATCTAATTATTTTCAAAAGTCAACATTAAGAAGGTTCATTATACGAGAGCCTAATAAGCACATTAATCATTAAGGAAAACATTGAAAAGGGAGAATTAAGGGAAGTTGGTCAGACATCAACTGAGTATCACCTCAATTAAATGCTCAAAATATCTTTTTCGCCTCTGATATTACCACATATTTCCTTATAAACCTCCGACGACGAAAGAGTCTTGAAATATCACTAACACGTCAAAGTGATCAACATAAACTTAAGTGATGTGTACATAATTCTTGAAATACAATCTTGCATTTTTCGTGCTTAACACGCAACCATTAAAGTCTTCAATTTCACGATCATGGAGGAAATTAGATGCAGGATATTTTATTACAGAGAACACTAGAATAAAGCAAAGCAATATATAATTCAAATAACCTCTACCGCAGTTTGTGAATACATATGTTACAAACGACATCAATGGTAAAACGAGCATAACACTTGGTGGAATATTATAACTCGATTTTAGTAACCCCCACTTACGTACCGTACATGCAGCCCGATCGAAAATTCCTTTTCCCCATCCAAACAACTGCATCAGACGATAAACGGATGCCACCTTACACCGTAATTGCCTTTCAAATTTGGAATAGTGCAGTGTATCTGCCCCTCTGATGTCTGAGATAGCGTTGGCGGACATACCCCCAAGACCACCGCCATACAAGCCTCCCGAGGGGATCAAGAAGTCTTGATACGTGCGGAAGGAGTCCGCGTTCATCGACTTTTCACTGTGCGTGGATAACATGTCCTCCAATTCTCCCCGCAAAATGTCATCGCTGAGAGCCAAAGAAACTCTTTGGCGCATCTTAAGACCTCGAACGTCGCGGACCACTTCATCAGGAGATCGAACCGAGCGCCCGACTACCTTCTGTCGCGGAGGAGCGCTCCATCTCCTCGATCTTTCAACCGGGGTTCGCGTGGTTCTTGGCGTTACTGAAGACGACATCCTGCAAATACAAGTCACTACAATGTTTAGACTGCAAATTGATCCGAAGCTACAGCCGTAATGTCCCTGTATATTGCCCTTGAATCGCGCGATCGTGGAAAAACAGATTGTTTCCAGGGCACACCTGCGTCAAAAAATACTCCACTTTCCTCACCAAATTATATCTCGGGTGTATTGTAACGGGAAAAAAGACACGCAAATCCTATTTTTTTTAAACAGCCTAACCGAAGATTTAAGACCCAGCTGTGTTAAAATTCATCGAGTTGATATTGCAAATGAAAACAACAACTGCGAGGCAAGTACTGAAGCTAAAATCCTTTAAAGAAAAAATCAAATAATTTACAACCAACCTGTAGGGTTTGCTTCGTTAACAATAACTTCTTTAAGCATGCGACTCGGTAAACACGCCTTTTCAAAGCCTCTCTAGCAAATGCAGTTGTTTTTATTCACTGATCCTTGGGATATTCAAATCAGGTCATTTATATGCAAACACGAGCCCACGTTCTGATTAATTAATAAGGTTGTTCCTTGCTCCCGTACGTGCACAAATTGCTGAGGTCAAAGACGCCTGACCTCGGCTTGAAATTAATTAGGATTTTATCACCTAAGTAGTGATCATCTTCAAGAATAAAGAGCAGTTGAAGTACAGTGTCATGTCTGTGGAGGTGGGAAAAAAAATTCATCTTTTCCGCCATTTTTTTTTTCAACAGAACTTCGTTCTTAGTCTTCCTCGACTTTGTTTGCATTTGTCCCCCACACCTTCTCCGCCCAATCTATGCATTGCTTTGGGTCGATCTGAAGATATTATCGCTGTTAAAGTTTGTTACATATCCCTTTATATTTTCTAATCAGGCTTTCAAGGTGTGTTATCCGATATTTTCCTCTGCACTTGTACAAATGGAACCTATGCTATTCATTTCCATGTTATTAGATACAGGGATTAAAAAAATAAGTTAAAAATACTAAGGTGGCAAATCGATGAAGAGGTTATTTATTTCGTGTTCGACTTGCCAGAGGATTCTGAAGAACATTGGAGAAGTTATTAAATTTTCGTCAAGTACAGATCGTACAGATTTATTTGAACAACATACTTCGTAACTGAATCTGCTGGCCACAGATATTCCACTGCCGCTGGCTCCGTTGAGAACACTCGAGTTCGCCGGGAAATAAGGCGACGTGGTATTATTCCTGGAAAAGAACTACGTTAAATTCTATTGATTTTGTTCTTTTATACTCTAAGACTACTTGCTGGTGTTATATAAGAGGCAATGGCCTCAGATTTAAGACTTACGGACTTACTGGATCGTGACAGGTAAAATGGCTGAAGTACTAATTATGCAAGTTTAACGTATAGACGAAGAAGTTGTGAAGTATGTTACAACTCCTTGTAATGAAGAAACAACATATTGATATAGATACGTATTTATGGAAAATAGATTAAACACGCATTTGCTACAACTACGTTTTTTAGGACACCACTGTGATAATAGATATGTTGTGGTTCAATTTTATCCATGGTTCAAATTTTATTTTCCTTTGTTTCGAACTCATTATCAGACATTGACATGACCGAGAACAAAGGAAAATAAAATTTGAACCAAGTATAAAATTGAACTACAACAGATACATACGTGTTATACGTATATGTCTAAAATGAAAGTATCAACAAAAGAACATAATGGAAGATCTCAGAACCAAATTCTTGGAACTAACAATTTTATTAAAACCGGCAGACTGTGTGGAGAATGATTATTGAGATACTGAGAATGAAATGGGTAGCTCATGAGATTAATTTGCCCCTTTGATTTCTTCTTTGCTGGTCAAAACATAATTTGTTTTGTAAATACCATTTGTGACAATGCTTCCTTAGAAGAAAAAAAAAAACACATGTAGCCTACTGAAACACGTTTATGACTGCTGTGGCATCTTAGCTAAGTTGTAGTAGTATGCCACTGGTATCTTGAAGGTCTACAGTCAACATCAAAATTAGCTGACATATCATGTTGGAAGAGTTCTATTTATTTAAAGAATAACATTCTTGTTTCTGCCTCACTATGAATCATTAACAGCCCCCCCCCTCCCCCATTCAAGGTTGGCTTAAAGTTCATGGAATCGTGATACAACATTGTTTTGGGATGGAGGGGGAAAATAGGTTAACTTATGAGGATGATGGCAAAAGAGGTTAAATTGAAGTACTAAGTGGTTGAAAAGGACAATGTGTCAAACAGTGAAGGTTCTTTTCTGTTCTGTTCATTACCTTTTAGTCAGAATTTGTATTTGCGACTTATTTGCTGTCTTGTCCAGAAGGCAATATTTGATTAATTTCACACTTATTATTCAGAGAAAGCAATTTTGAATTTGACTGATCAAAGCCGGATTGAGACGTTAGTAAGATTCCTGTAGGGTATCAAGAACATCTCTATTGTAATGTTGGAATATGAATGTGGCTGGGATCAGTTATGGGATTGTCTGCTCCTGGGATTGTTCAAGTAGAGAGTGAAATTGTAATCTCACTTTGACCTCAGTTCTGAAAATGCTACATCTTGTGTAGAAGAATCTGACTGGACTGAATTGATTTTCATGGAAATATTTTGGCTGAGTCTCTCAGTCTTCATCATCCTTGTGGAATGTAAATGGTTACAAAGTATTAAATTATGTATTCTAACCACTTGCTCAGAGTGGCCCTCTGATGGGAGTATGGTGTTATAAATATTTAGAAGCTCAAGCCCTTAATCTCTGTTAAGTTACAGAAATCTCATCTAGATCTCTTAATAGCCTCTTTTACCTTCCTCTTGATATTATTGTCCTCAATACGTTTCAGTCAGCTTCTTCTACATGTTATGTCTTTGGAAAATGGAATGAATATTTTTGCTTCTGCTATATCTTCCTAACCCTTCACCCCCAAGATCTCATTTTTAGTAATTCTCTCTACTGTCTGCTATACAATTCTTATGATGTTGGGTATGAGAATTTGGCATTGGATCAACTAATAATACCCCAATTGATATGTTTCTTTATTGTCATCATTTGTCTATTTGATATTATGTTGATATTGTAAGGAGAAATTCTGTTTTGGTCACTCTTGGGAGTTGAAGGGCTAAATGGCTATGAAATACAGGTTGAAACTTACTACTGTACAATTGAAATTTAGTTGTCTAAGATCTTTGACCCTATTTAAGGCTCAATAAGCCAAATTTTAAGACCATGGAGCTCAAAATTAGGCCATCATGGTTATTATTTGTACAGATGTAAGTGATGTTACCCCCTTGCACAGTTTGCCCAGGTTCTTTCACCCCTAAGTATAGCTTCATTGCCCCCAACTTTTGAGGTAATTATGAGGTTTTAAACATATTTTGACCGACTTTTAAAGCTTGGAGGGTTGATCGCCGAGTATCATAACCTTCTACCCATGATCTCAATGTTGCGACTGCTTAGTAATGTGGCCTCTACAATTTTTAAAGACTCTACCCCGTGAAGAAAGCTAAAACTCAGATTGTGGGCAATGCAACTTCATGTTGGGGACAACACAACCATACTTTGGGGCAAGGGAACTTCACTATTGTGATTGTACAAGGGGGCAATGTCACCCATTACCTAATTCTAACATGAGGTAATTGTTTGGTTTGTTTGATTCTAGACTGCCAGATGGTGGAGGACTGTTGCTGCTTTTGTTATATTTTCCATGTGGCTTCTTTCTTATGATATTTAGAATCTTCTTTGGACTTCAGCTCATTCTTATGTTGACATTGTTACCCAAAGGGTCATTGATAAGGAGGTGAGAAACTACATCGCTGTGCAGCTGCAGGGTTTAAAATTCAGGTGTGATCAGGTCAATCACAAATTCCCATTATAGCTTGAAACTGCATGCACGAGTGCATTAGCTTTTATATATATTGTAATGTATATCCTCAAATAATTGCCAACACTTGTAAAAATGCCTTTTCCCGAATAGGTGCCCATCTCCTAAGCCACAATGTCAAACAAGCACCCCTCTTGCATAAGTACCTGCTTCTCTCCTCTCTTTCTTGTAGGGATAGGAGGAACATCTATTCCTGTTGCCACTTTGTTTATCACTTTTTAAGCTTCAAATACAATGGAATCAGTGCAGGAGAATAGATTCGACATCCTTTTCAATTGCTCTCACCATTGTTTTTACAAGTGTGTGAAATTTACATGTCTGAGAAAATATAATGTAAAAATGGTACTAAGCCTGTGTCAAGACTTAATTGTCATGAATGAGTGAACACACATGTATATACGCGCAGATATGCCTGTAGTGTGAAATAAAGGCAGAGGTTTTGATCAAAACAAAATGTTAGTGCCAAGGGGCTAAGGCTGACTGAGTTTACTGAGTAATACAGTATATTGTGTGGCTTAAATCTGGAAATTATTTACTGGTAAGATGTGTCTTGAATGGCTTCGAAAAGAAATGGTGTAAGTGTTTTGACATGTTTCAGTTGTACTGATCCAATGCTTTTCAAACATGTTTACTTGTAAGCATTACCAGTACCAAAATGCTAGATGTTCCAGCTCAAAGTATGAAATTAGTGAGATGAGTTATTTTAATGAATATTTCATTGTATTAGTAATATGGAAAAAAGTTATAATTTTAAATAAATTAGATATATGCTAACAGGCATTGACACGGGAAGCTAAAATTGTGTACTTTTTGATTTTGTAGGATTCTTCTCAGAGTATCCTGTACCATATTAGGTATTGTTGTGACTCAAGAAGGATTTGAAAATTATAATAAAGATGAGCATAAGGTATTAAATAAATAAGGATTCTTCAACATAGCTTTTTAACTGAGAACTGTTTGTGTTTTAGCATCAAAAGAAATCCAGCATTGCATTGGTTTTGTTTGGCTTCATGCAGTGCCTAGTCTACAAAACTTGCCCCACCTTTCTGGTTATTAGTTTCCAGGGTCATATCTATAGATGAATGATTGCTCCATAGATTACTTATTATTGTGTTATGTTCTACAACTTTTAGAAAGCAAAAAAAACTCTGAAAGTGGGAATAGAGTGCAATTATCTCAAAAAGTGGAAATCTTGTACAAAATGAGAATTATCTGCAGCATAATTGAAAGTGTAAACTATATGTTTTTCTTTTATTCCTTACAGCTTGTTGTTAGCAACCATGTTTCAACCCTGGACAATGTTGCCATAGAAACAGTACTTCCAAGTGTTATGGTAAGTCGGACCTATGACTTAATTGCCATAATGATCTTGATCTTGCCGTGTATAAGAACTGAGTTTTAGCTCATACAATTAGGAAGATGCTTGTTAATTAAAGGCACATCTTTAAATGAACAAGATTGAGATGTATTTTTATTATTAATCTTTAGTTAAACAGATAAAGTCTCATTGTTTCTGGAAAATTTCAGGTGATTTTCCTGACCAGTACCTAGACCAGTGGCTTAAACTTGCCACATTTGAACCTGAGTTACAAACTGGCTGGTCAGTTTATTTTGTGAACTTTGGTTGTTCTGTGAATTAGGTGCTGTGTGAAGCTTGGGTTGCAAGTGGTTACAGTGCATTCTTAAATTAAAATATTTTGTTACTGTGATGGCTCAACTTCATTTGCCTGACAAAAATCAGAAATAGTTGAAGTGAAAGGTGCCATTCACATTCTACTTCTACTGCTAATGACTATATATCATTAGACGAACTGTTTAAACCATAGTGACACCAATAAGTGAATTGATATCTGTAGTGAAATATTGCAGTCAGAGAATACCATTACTGTTTTTGATATTTTGCAGCCATACAGCAGATGTGATTGTCCATGGCTTTTAAAGTGGGTCCTAGGGTATCAAGAAGTAAGTGCTGACAAACAAAGAGAAGATGTAGATGGCAAGATTAAGGAGTATTTACAGGGTAAGAGCTTTTATTACATGAATGTGTAGTTGATTTAATGTTAGTAATTGCACTGAGTAATTAGTAAACAGATACAATAGTGTCGGGTGTAGACTGAAAACAATTTAAACAGAATGGGCCACTGTGCACAAGGGTTTGAGTTGCAAATTCTAGTTAAATATCAATTTTGAACAATTATGAATTGAAATTTTTAAATTGATATTACTGGTAATACTTTAATGGACAAGTTCTTATTACATTTCAGTTTTAAAGCCCCAAATAAGCAAGAAGTTTTAGGGAGGCCCTGATATGAGGGATATTGATTATTTAAACCATGTTTAGCCATCTTTTAAGGAGGTAGTAAACCTTTGCATGCGTCCTTTGCAAAATGAACTTTTTCATGTGCTATTTGAAGCATAACCACCATAAACTATTGATATATGTGTCCTGTATAATTATATATGAACTTATATCGAGTTGCAGACATGCAAAGAGATCCTTTTAAATAGCATGATTGTTTAAGCTTCTGAAATTTATTTTTAGCCCTTCATTTTAGGCAGTTTTCTGTAAGTTGTTTAACCGCTACGATTAGCTTTTTTCAAAACAATTTAAGCCTCTCAGATTTATTTTTAACAGTTTACTGTACATTGTTTTACCGTTGCTATGCACCTCAGCCAATTGTGAATTACAACCTTACAGTTTTTTCAAAATCACTATATAATGCACCATTTATTCTTTCTTTTTGGTAGCGGCCTGATGATTGTCTTGTAAAAGGCATGAAACTCAGAGTAGCAAGTAAATGGTTTTGACCTAATTCAAGTCTACATATATATATATATATTTATATATATTTAACAATTATTCGCCGAAGGCGAGGTGAATATTGTCGAATAATCCCTGAGACAAAGTCGAGGGGATTATTCGACGATATTCACCGAACCTGAGGCAAATAATTGTTTTAGTATAATTTCAGAGCTGAACAACAGAGAAATTTCAAAAATCATAACATTTTAGTAACATTTATTAACTTTTTATTTTAACATTTTATATNCTGAAATTGTACTAACTATATATATAGTTGTTTGTGGAACTCTCAGGCCAACAAAGGTGCACCGTGCCAGGAGGATCAATAAAGATTCGCAGTCCAAACCTCACAGTAAACACGAATGTAGAAAGTTTAAAAATTGCAAGGATGGACAACTTCTGATGTAAAAAACATAAAAAATTTAATAAAAAACGTTTCGGTCAGAGACCTTCAGTTATTTACCTGAAGAAGGTCTCTGACTGAAATGTTTTTTATTAAAATTTTTTATATTTTTGACATCAGAAGTTGTCCATCCTCACAATTTTTAAACTCTCTCTCTCTCTCTCTCTCCCTCTCTCTCTCTCTCTATATATATATATATATACATATATTGCACTCTACTTTATGTATTGAGCACCGTAACACAGAAAAATCAAAATGCAGACTTCCTATCTATAACAGGATGATCAGGATTATCTGATCAGTAATTTTTGTAAACAATGTTAAGGGGGCCAAAAGCTAACAGTGGAAGGACATTTATTTAGTATTCATAAACTAACAAACCCTTTGAAAGAGTGAAGCTGAGGCCCACTGCTTGTGTAATACTGCAAATGGTTTAGACCTCCTATAAATAACCAGCCCGTAGAGTTTGAATATTCATATAACAATTACAGCATCAGTCTTAAACAAAATGTTGTGTGAACTTAAAAAAAAGTTTCTTAATTAAAGTGGCATTAGTTTAAACCTTATTTCTTCCGTTTCTGTTGTTGCTGAATTTTTTTTCTTTTGTTTAGGGTCTGACTTTCCTCTTTTGGGATTTCCAGAGGAACAAATAACCAATGGAAGGAGAGGCCTTCTAAAATTCAAGTAAAAATTATGTGTTGTACAGTTTTTGTGCACTTAACTTTGATTAATTACTTTTAAAGAAGTTTGTCACTGTTGAGACAAGCACAATGTAGTTTTACCAACATCCAGTTGCTTGTTGACCAAAAGTGAAGTTGACAAAAGTAAAATAGCCCTCATCATTGAGTGTAATGTATTAAAACCCAGCATTTTACTGCATAAATACATTTCTAAGGCTTGAACCTTTTACTCATTTAAGTGTAGTTGTATGTGAGCTAAATTTTATAACTTTAGAGGTGGAGAGAACCTAATGTGAAAGCTTAATTTCCGAATGAATTACTGGCTGTTGGGGTTAAGATCATGGCACTGGTATTTAGTCACCATTTTTACGTACATTGCCTGTCAACCTGCTAAGGTCAAAATATGACTGATGGACAATTTGACATATTTCTGACAGAGTTTGTTTGGTTTTCTTTACTATTACAGCCCATGGTGTTTCCAATTTAGCAGCACTATATTACCTGTAAGTGGTCTTACTGACAATTTCAATATCTTCTTTGTTTTTGTAAATTTTTTATCTGTTAACAAAGATTAGCATGATTTTAGTCTCTGATGGTTAAGGGAGTTATAAATTAAGGTTAATGTAATGGAAAGGGTCTGGAATTCTTGTTAAAGTAATGGACATTTTCAAAATAAGGGTGCTTTCAGTTCCAGTGTTTGTGTTTAGCTGGAAATACCTTTACAATGATACAATGTTTGTATTTATGTAGGCATTAATCAGTGTGAGACGCCCTCTTCCTGTTCCAATACCTCCTGTGAGTTTTATTCTCATTCAGTTGCTTTCAATTTCAAATTGTCACTGTGGTGATTCTGAAGTAAAGTTTTGAGGATTCTTTGTCCATCTCTATAATCTTTTACAACATAAATGAACATAGCATGCATTGTCGGATCGATCAGTTCAGTTCAGTTTCCAAGCAAATATGTTATCAGGTTATAGAACCTTTTTGTAACTAGTTACATCATAAAAGCAATGGAATACATTTTTTCCAGGCTCTAAAACATGATAAAGCCTCTTGGGGTGGTAGGAGAACACTTGGAAAGCATATAAATCACTTGCCTTCCCCATGTTCTGATAACATCCCAAAAAAACACAAGGTTTTTGGCTGTCAGTTTTTGAGAAACAATCAAATTTTTAAATATAATTTTACAGATTTCAGTTTCATACAAACATAAACTTGAGACTAAGACGTAAAAACTTCAGATTTAAAAAAGTTTTGACAAAGAATGCCTTTTATTGGATTTATTTCCCAAGATTAATTTCCTGGTTACCCTTCTATTTTTAATCCACCAAAAACTTTCTTATCAAAATTTAACTTTTCGTCAATAATTGTTATAAGACAATTTAGTAAAAAAGTTTTTAAAAAAACTTTTAAGTTTCTTTTTTGACATTTTTAAAAAATATTTTCTCTATTGGTAGCATGTTTTAGGAAGTGGTTGGTGGCAGGACTTGTCGTGGTCTTTGTTTGTTCCATATACACTGTACAATATAAGGTGAGTTCCTGCCGGTGGAAATTGGGAGATTAAAACTACTCTTAACTCTTAGCCAATATCTAATAAAAGGGGTAAATTTCTAAAGAAATTGTGTATCAGTGTTGGGGTGTGTGTGTGTGCGCACGCGTGTGTGTGTGTGTTTGTGTGTGTGTGTGTGTGTGTGTGTGATTACAGGATAATTTGGGTGGACTCCCCCTGGTTCTATTTTCTTTGTCAAAGGGATTGATCCTGATGAGCTCCAAGTGAAATGAAGCCTTGTTTGTAACTTTGATTTGATTATTGTGGTCGAGTATTCTGGTCATATAGCAGGTGCCTTTTCTAGCCTACTAGAAAATAATTACACACCAGCCATTGTTTGGTAATCAAATGTTTTCATATCTTTGAACTCTGTTGGGTGTTTTATCCTGTAGGGATATGTTAATTCAATCAATATAAATACCTTATAATTTATTTTTCTTCCTGAAATCTTGTGGATGATCAAAAAATTTACTTTTTGTGTAGATTTCTTCCACCAGTAAAATCCAAAGCAGAAGACATTTCCAGTGATGTACAGAAGGTATGATACTTTCCCATCCCACACTTGTGTTTATTTACTTTCCTATTTTATTCCTAAACTGCCATGATTAATTACAGCAAAGAAAATTATTGCAAAAGAGTTTAACTCAGCTGTTTGAAATTCCCAAAGCATGGTTTCCTTCACTGCATGTTACCCAGAAAATATGTTTAACTTAGCAACCTTTCAGTACTGTATTAAAGGGGATCTACTGTATTTCCTTGAATAAGTCTCTGGTGCTTATTTAAAATTTTGGTTAAAGAGTGGGTTGCTTATTGGAATGAGGGTGCTTGATCCATGGGGTGCTTATCAAGAAACTAGTGAAGGCTTAAAAAGTTATAAATAAAGTGGCTTGAGAAACAGGTTTCACTTGAATCCCGGATACTCAAGAAAGTGAGCGAGGAAGGGGGGACACTTGTTTGAAATAATGGCCTACGGGGTGGATGCTTATTTTGAGATGGGGGGGGCTTATTAGAGCGTCAGCTCCTATTCAAGGAAATACGATATTTTCTCAAAAATAATGGCTGAAATGCACCAAGGAGGGTATGCCCAAATGTCAACAAATCAATTGCATGATAAAATTTTTTTATATTGCAGCACATGGCTAGTTCCTCTGGGCTAATGCCAACGGGCTTCACAGCTCAGGATGTAAAGGACCTAGAAGCAGGTACATCATTTTTTTTTAAGGAGCATCAGTCTCAGAGGCCTAGCAGCCCATAATTTGTGCTGCTTGTCATCAGTTTCTATATCATAGAGGGACTAGGGAATAATTCCTCCCAGATGATGTGTTAGTTCATAGCAGGTTAACCCCCCTCTGCCCTTCCCTCCAACATTCCATCTGGTTTTCTCCTCTGGGTGGAGATGAAAGGGGCACTGTGAGGATAAAGTGTCTTGCTCAAGAAACACAACACAGTCATCCACCCAGAGCTTTGTGCTTTATTTGGGCCTCTGTGCCTGCTAACCACTTTTTCATAGTATTTCCTTGAGAGAGCTTTAGATGCTTATACCATGAAAAAACTCTTCTAGTAATAAAATTCATTTTTTAATTTAAATGCGTGTTATGTTATAGTTCAAGCAAATCCCCAATCTCAGGAACCTAAGTCAGCCCCAAATGGAAGCACCCCTTCTAGCCAACCCCCTAGAAGTACAAGTCCAAACACAAGGCTGGCAAGAATGGTACAGCAGGTTAGGGAGGTACTTCCACAGGTTCCATCTTCAGCTATATCAAGAGATTTGAGTAAGTTGGTATACATAAATTGAATTACTATTTTGTGAAACCAATTTGCAGTTAATGGAACTCCATTTTATAGGTTTTCAAGAGTTTTTAATTTGCTAGTTGTTTTACACACTGCGCTGAATTTTTATCTGTGTTGTAAATTATTAATGAATAGTTGGTTAATTTAAAACTAAACTATGAGTAGCAAAAGTCTTGGCATGTTTGATTACTTTTTAAATTGTTTCATCTATCTTCCCCTCTCTCCAATCTCTATGTTGCCTGGTGCTAACAAAATGCTCACTAACTTCAGACAACATTGTTTGGGGGTAAAGGGGTGACTTTTAAGTACCTTGTTAGAGATGAAGTGCAATATTTCTGTTTATTATCCAACTGTGCTTCATAGAGCACAAATAACACCCAAAACAAGTACAAATATCTTGTGGTATTTGTACTCCAGAGGACCGGTTAGACAGGGTTTCTTGCATCACTTAAAATTCCCTGCATTGAAATAACATTGTGGTGTATTGGATAATAAATCTCTTATGATTAAACATTTTGTTATGCAGTATCGCTGAGTATTTTTACTTGATGTTTGTGTTTTGACTCACCCAATGGGCTTGTTGAAATAAGCCACAACACATAAAAATACTCGGCGACACTACACAACAAAACATTTACTAAGATATAATTTGTTATGTTGAGTAAAGGGTTGCCAACCACCCATTCAAGGTAGACATACTAACTACATTGGCCACTTATTCATTATTATTAAATATTGTAAATATAAATCTGTGCTGTAATTTTTTTTATTAAAAGCTAGATAAAGATTGTTAGTCGTGTTTAGTCCTATTGTGATAGTACTACGTAAAAGAAGTATTCTTAGTGCAGTGGGGAACAATGCAACCATCTAAACCTTGCATCTACATTTTAACTTTTCATTCATCCCTCACAGTCATAGACTAAACTGAAGAACTGCTTACAAACAACCATAATCTGACATCTTGCTATTTTGGCCTAATGGTCGTGGCCTAATGGTCTGTTCACTGAATTCTGTGTCAAGAGGTCTGGGTTCAAGACCCTGCTGATCTGAGTCAATGTGTTGTTTTCCTGGGTATTAGACCCTTCACTCTAATAATAATAATAATAATAATAATTTATTTCTTTTAGAGCGCTATTTACAATGACAGATCAACAGCACTTTACACTCAATGTATAAACCCACCCATCCCACCCCAGGGGAGGACATCCATCACAGCAATCTCGTGTGTGGGAAATTAATGTCTCCTACCCCCAACCCTGCAGGAGATGGGACCTCCATTTATTCGTCCCTATCCGAGAAGACTAAAATATCTAACCATTTCTTGATGTTCTACAAAGGTAACAAATTCTTCTCAATTATTTTAAGACCTTGAGTGTTGGTCCAGCCAGGGCTTGAACCCTTGACCCCCCACACAACAGTCCAGTGCACTATCCATTGCATGGGCTAACTGGGTGGTGGTTTAACTCTCACAGTGCCTCTCCCCACCCAGGAGTATAAATGGGTAACAGAAAACTGTCAGGGAGGGGCCTGATGAAACACTGGGAGGTAACCTTGTTACCCCCCATCCAGGTGGGATTAGTAATACTCCTACTTGCTTCATGCAACATGGAAACAGGAATAAGCTCAGGCTGTGGAG